AGGGTTTAGGGTTTAGGGTCAGCTGCCCACCCACCTTCAAACGGCATTGTCCGGCATCACTTTCAACACTTGATCGCAATGGCTGCGAGAGCCAGGGCTGCGTTACAGGGGGAAGCTCAAGTAATATAGGCACCAAAATCATTAGAATACGGATTTGAAACGTCTGTCGACTTCTTGCAGCCACAGCTCTACATGATGTCTTGGCTGATCCGGTATCACATGCACCACTGTATTGCCGACAGCTGCTTTGAAGCTGCACACACAATGGTACCATCAAGAACGACTCCCATAGAGCTATGAAACCAAAGGTCAAGATTAGGCTTTGGGAAAGTGCGGATCGAATGATTTGCAGACACTGTTTAGGGTTTAGGATTTAATTTAGGGTTTAGGATTCAAGCATTGTTTGCAGGTTTTCAATCTACTCAGTTTGTACCGAATCGCATGGGTTTGGGAAGCACAAGCTGAGGACGTCGGTCCAGATTACAGGAGGAAAAACCCACGTCCCTTGAGGCACGCGGGGTAAAAAAACCCACCAGAACGCCCCGGCAGCACAGATTGCGGCTATGCCGCCCCCCGGCCAGACGGGCAGAAAAAGAGGAACCCGGCCATTCAGGGTGCGGCCGTGCCGGCACCCTGCTTGGGAAGAACTCGCCAAGGCTCCTTCCTTTAAGGACGCCCGTCCCTTGGGCAAACATTATCATGGCACTTCGCCGATGTCCGGCAGCGGCGCCTTCTTGTCAAGCCAGTAAAGGCAGCCGGCCGCCGCACCACAGGCTGCTGCCTTACTTCACCAACCCTAAACCCAAAACCCCAAACCCGACACCCTAATCCCTTATGGCCCTATATGAATCCTAAACCCCAGATCCCAATCCCTAACCCTTAACTCCTAAATCCTTAACCTACGTCAAGAAGAAGCCGACCCCAAACTCCACCCAAAGACTTCTTGTCTTGGGCTCTACTGCTCCCTTTCGAAGCAAAGCACCTGGGACTTAGAAACAGTACTCCTGAGCCCTCATCCCACGCCCCTGAACCAAAAGTTTAAGGCTTTCCGCTGAAGTTCTTGGGCTTAGGGGCCTACTTGGGGTTCATGGGTAGTTATAAGTAGGGCTGTAAGTAGGGTAACTATACTTATAATCCTACTTGGGAGACTTATAACCTTATAACTACCCATGAACCTCCAAGTAGGCTTTAGTAGGATCCCTAAACCCTAAACCCTAAACCGTGTATCCCAAACCTCCAAGTAGGGTTTAGAGGCCAGGCAACCTGCAGGCTGCAAGGATTTATATATTGCGGCTTTGCTTGGGAAGGTTTGGGAAAGAAGTTCCCCCGTCGTTTGGTGCTACCTGCTGCCTTGTAGAACCGCTGAGCCCCCATAGCCCTCAACCCAGGCCCTAAACCCGTATAAGAACGGTTTAGGGTTTGGGGTTTAGGGTTTAGGGTTTAGGGGGTTGTAGAACTCTTATGGAACCTCGTGGTGTGCCATTTCGCAAGTGAGGGGTTGCAGATCTTTCCAGGGGCCGGGGATGGAGTTGTAATACGGTTTAGCCAGGTGAGAATCGTTAAGGCGTTTTTTGCTTAACGATGTTGTGCAAACTTTTGGGCAAACTCCTTAATGCTGTTTTTGTTGGCCTGCTGATTTGTTTATTTCTTTTCGACTGTACTACTATACCCGGCCTCAGACTTGGTCGATGGTGGACGGGAATGGGAATGCTTGGAGGTTCATGGGTAGTTACAAATGGGGTTATAAGTCCCCTAATATGGGCTATAAATATAGTTACCCTACTTTTAACCTCACTTATAACTGCCCGTGAACCTCCAAGTATAGGTTGACAAAATTTTGAAGATGAAGGGTTTTTGGTCTTGCTGGTAGTTGTCTTGGAGTTGTCGGGGCTTGGTTTCGAGCCTTGGGTGATCCTCAGACCCCGCTTAACAGTATTAACAAGAAGACGAAAGTGATCCCTAAACCCTAAACTCTAAGAACCCCAAAACCTTAAACCATGAGCCGAATACGAACCCTAAACCCTAAACTCAAGAACCCCAAAACCTTAAACCATGAGCCGAATAAGAACCCTAAACCCTAAACCCTAAGAACCCCAAAAGAATAAGAACCCTAAACCCTAAACCCTAAACTCAAGAACCCCAAAACCTTAAACCATGAGCCGAATAAGAACCCTAAACTTTAAACCCTAAACTCTAAGAACCCAGAAAGAATAAGAACCCTAAACCCTAAACCCACGAAAGATGGTCAGAGCGAGCTGCGAAGAGGATGCAATGCACCAAGCTCGAGGCGGCGGCCACCCTGGGTTCTTGTTCAAAGGAAACTACGGATGGGGAGCTTAGGGAGGCTTAGGGTTCCTTTAAAAGGGGTTTAGGGTTGAGGATTTCTTTAAGGGTTTAGGGTTTAGG